TAAGCTTGTTGTGCTTGAAGTGTTTGAAGATTAAAAATAGGAAGGGATGAGTTCCCATTGATACTGGGTATTTTTACATCCTAAATACTTGCTGGCATTGGCATTAACAGCCTGGACTTTTTTAGAGCTGATTGTTATCTTAATTCCTTTCCAAAATGCTTAATGCATTAATATTCATTACTGAAGTGTTACTTCTTGCCATCGTAGAATCTCACAGACAAGCAACAGTTCCCTAATATTCCCTGTCCTAATTTTCTGAAGGAAAAAACGAAAAGTTTTAATGACATGAATCTGAAATACTTATCTCCACTTACTTCAGAATCATAACGGCAGAGTTTAGCACTTTTCCTTTGTTTTGCTGTGGTTAATATTATAATCAATTTTTTCTTATTCCTAGGAAGCTAGAAAATTGCTTCCAACTGATAATCTACACTTTACTGTGAACCATTTCAATGAATGATGCCATTTCTGATCCAGATGACAGGAGATTTAATTCAACCTTGTTTTCCCAAAATTTCTATTTTATCAGCGGGCTCTTACTATCCTTATGGTGATTAGATGGATATTTGAGAAGTTTGGACCTCTTTTGATGTGTTTTCTTCTTCATTCTTAAAGAAAGTTATTCTATTTTTATTTTTTTTATCGTATACGCACTTATTAAAAATGATGTAGAAATGTTACTTCTTTGAAGGAAAGAATATGCGATCATAAGATTTTACCTCGTGAGAGTCGCATGTTGCAAATTTAATGCATGTGGTTCTATATTAATAGTTTATTTATACTTTTTGCTTCCTCGACTAAGTTTTTAAGTGTTTATAAGCAGTAACTCCCAAGGAATATCTGATTAAAAAGTAAATAAAGTTAGTTGTCCTAAGAAATATGTTATTAAAAAATGATCTTTGACCAGTTTCTTAGCACTTAAAACAGCTACCAAGCAAGTGCTATATCATTTTATTCCATATCATGGTTTGGGTTAAAAAGCAGTAGGATTTACTATCCCTTTCATAAATATTAACAAGTGTGTGGACATATTGTCAATACTCTAATCACACATTTCTTTGGAATACTATGGAAAAGTGTAATATGCGCTGGGGGCTATTTCAATTCCATACAGCATGAAATTTTATATATTTTTTTTTTGATATGCCATACAGCATGAAATTGATGTTCACATAAGAAAATCGTAGATTGATAGTACAAAGTTTTAGCTTAAGTAGATAGTGTGGTCGAAAGATAGATTCATGTATTTATTTTCAATCACACTATAAAATTCATAGTTTACTGCTAATTATAGTCCATTAATCATTTATGACATAATGGAATCCTTTTTCATTCAACTCTTCAATTTTGGCAAGAACTTGTAAGGGAAATTTTATTCAAATGAATTTGGAAGTTTAATTGAATCAATCACTGTGAATAGAATCAGTCATCGTGATTGACTTCCATGCAATCACAATCTCTCGTGAATAATGGGGTAGTTCAACTAACCCATTTTTGAAAGGTTCATGATCCTAAGGAAGACAGTTTTGTATATGATTGTGGACAGAGTAAGAAAACCATTTGCTTCATTGATTTGTACAATAGGATTCTATAGTTTCGGTACCTTGTACAAAGAAATTGAAGCAGATAACCTGTAGGTATAGGTACTGTCAGTTTGGAGTGATTATATTTCTTATCATGTTGATAATTAATATGCACATTAGATACTTCTGTAACTCTTCATGGCATGTATACCAAGCTTGCATCCTCAGTCGTGGTATTGATTGTGACCCTTTATGGAGAACTGCCGATAAAAGTAGACTAGCTATAAAAGCTGCTGAGGCAACAGTTCCTATCCGTGTGGGGGATGGGATCTGTGGGAATTATATGGTTCCATGCTAATAATTTATTCTTCTGTGCACTCCATGGACTAAGCATGGTAGAGACTATCTTGGTTGAAGGTTTTTTCTTTTTCTTTTCAAATTGTGCATTTATCTTTAAGCTCTTTTAATCTCTATATCAACTAATAGGTAGTTTCTCAATTCTTACTGGTCATCGGCAGTAATGCTTTAGTTTCAATTACATTTTATTTTGTAATAAGGGCTGTGTGGTTTAAACTTTTAGCTTTATTGTTACAGGAAATTAAAAAAAATGATAGCTGAAGTAGACAAGGATGGCAGTGGTGCTATTGACTTTGATGAGTTTTGTCACATGATGACAGCCAAATTTGGAGAAAGGGACGCTAGAGAGGAGCTAATGAAAGCTTTTTACATTATTGATGAAGATAAAATTGTAAGTTATTGCTGGGATTAAAATATTATTTTTGCCTCTTCTCATAACTGGTAAGACATCATGATTACAGGGGAAGATTTCTGCTGCAGACATTCAGCGCATAGCAAAGGAGTTGGGTGAACGTTTCAGTGATAGAGAGATTCAAGAAATGATTAATGAACAGATCAAGATCGTAAGTTTACTCTATTTTTCTTTTCTGAATTTATTAGGCATTTGTGGTTTTCGTGCTGTTTATAATTGCTCGACATATCTGATACCTTTTATTACAAATCTACCATATTCATTCTTATGCAGTCACTTTCATCCAGAATCATGAAACCTGCTGCCTAAGCATCTTCTGAATGTACATGTCTCCACCTATCATCTACGTGCCAATTATCACAAATGTTTTTACAATGGACAGTGAAGGTTTAAAAATCTAGAAGAGGATACAAATCTATGTAGATGAATCTGATTGTATATGATGGTAATAGACTTAGAAATTGGCTGGAAGCAGCCATAGTTCAGTTCAGCTGTACGTGGCGAGTTAATAAAATTGACCTTGGTAGGATGTCAGTCTTTTCAGGTCCTAGATTACCAACTGTATGCTTCATGATTAGCTTTGAAAGCCAGATAAAACTTTGCCTTCATTACTTCAGAGCTTGTTCAAGGTTGGCATGACAGTAGAACAACCAAAGCTGGCTTAGTTACATTCTTTATGGCCAAGATTACAGGCGACTGGAAAGGTTATTGGTCTGAGGATGCTGTAAGGTTTTTTGGTTGACAAGTGTGGCGACCCGAATCCTTAACGATTCGAGTGTCACTAAATCATAAACTAAAACAAATTTGAAGGATATTCAACACAATTATATAAATTATTTAAGCACTTAATAAAATTCAATTATCCTCTTACTTTATTAAGAAATGCTGGGTTTGTTGTTGGGTGGTCTTAGATCTTGGGGGTGTATTCTCCCTATTGACCCAATGTCCATTTATTATCCTCTTATTTTATTCAAGTACAGTTATCTTTACAAGTAAACTAAAGCTTCCTCTTCCCAGCCATTGTGAACATATGAAACCACATCAAGCTTTGTGCAGGAAACTCCGTTCAAAGAGTAGAATGGAAAACAGCACATGATAACAAATTTACATGCTGACTTGCCATAAAAAATAATTTGGTCCAAGTACATACAGAGAACCCCTTGTAGTCATGAGCAGGATACACCAATGTGTCTTTAGGCAATGTAAAGATCTGTTTTAGGAAAATAATTTGTTAGTGGTTTATCTAAGGGGCAGATACAATTGGGGAATGGAAGTTCTGTTAAGGAAAGTAAGTCGAAATATCTCATGTCAAATTTGGTGCCTCATTACACAATTGGACATGAAGCATTTAAGGTTCTCTTAACTTATTTATATACTGAAAAGCTTAAGTCATCTCCACCCGAAATTTCAAAATCAAGATATTCCAAGATATTTAAACTTGTATACATTCTGAAAAGATTGTGCCTCTAATTTTGCATGCCTAAAAGAATCTCTGCTTATTTACATACGTTTATGTACACTAAGAAGTATTTTTTACCTTTATTTTTTATTGAATTTTGTGGGTTTTGTTTAT